GAGAGCCCCTCCTGCAGCTGCATCCCGACACTGAGGCCAGGCTGCAGGAGGACCCTGGACGAGCCGCGTCCCGGGTCTCACTGAGCTGTGCTCTTCCAACTCTCGGCATACAGCCTGCGGTCTGGACACTTGGGGCCACGCGGTAAGTTAGGGTTCCCGGTAGTGGTTCAGAGCGTCACACATTGCCCTCACCTTTCAAGAGCTGGAGGTCGTTTCCTTGAGTGGGCTATGACATGCCCAGCAGCTCAGTGGCCCCTTCCTTCCTCCCACAATTCAAATCTGGGATCAGAATAAGTTGACAAATGATCTCTGCTTTAAACCTTGAACAAACTCAAAACAGGCCAGGTGCGGTGGCTCACACCTGTAACGTCAGCACTTTGGGAGGCCGAGGCAGGAGGAATGCTCAAGCACAGGAGTTTGAGACCAGCCCGGGCAACAAAATGAAACACCACCTCCACAAAACAAATTTTTAAAAATCAGCCAGGTGCGATAGCACACACCTGTCCTCCCAGCTGCATGGGAGGCTGAGGCAGGAAGGAAGACTGCTTGAGCCCAGGAGGTTGAGACCAGCCTGGGCAACTTAGCGAGACCTCATCTCTATAAAAAATAAAAATCAGCCACGTGTGGTGGTGTGCACCTGAGTGCCAGCCACTTAGGAGGCTGAGGCTGGAGGATCGCTTGAGCCCAGGAGGTTGAACCGCAGTGACTGTGACCACACCACAGCACTCCAGTCTGGGTGACAGAGCAAGACCGCATCTCAAAGCAAACAACAACGAGACAGGACAGCGGCCAGAGTGATGACACCAGCCACCTTGAGGTCCCAGGGCTCCATTATGCGCTGAAGCCCACATCCCGGGCGGCCTGAGCATGGAGCTCAGCGAGGCGGCCTGTCTCCCTCGTCAGCTCAAGAGCAGTCGCGACCAGAGCATGGGGCCTCCCGCGCGGGCCTGTCCTTTTGGCTCCCTTCATGCTCCCACACCCTCCCAGCAGTCAGCCCCGGGCAAGGACTGCCTGACACAAAAAGAAGGAGCTGGCCCCAGGGAGCCCCGGACTTTGGGATTTTTAAAGACCCAAACAGAGGCAGACAAGAGCCGCGGTCTACGTCCTGGCAGTTCCATGGTAGCAACCGGGGGTGAGGCTCCACCAGGCTCTCCTCCCTGGCGGACGGCCTCCCAACAGACTCAGCAGGGAGTTGACACGCCAGTTGCTTTCTTTCAGTCATTCAACAAGTATGTGTTAAGTAGCTGCCGGTGCCAGGAACGGCCCTGGCAAAGGAATGAAACAGAAAGCAGAGAAGCAGGATGTGGAGACAGCGCTATCCCTGCTCTTCAGTGCTGAGCTCACTCCACGCCCAGCCAGTCAGGCACACGGAACACAACAGTCACCAATGCCTCTGTCCCAGTTGAGAAGCCACCTCCTACAGCGCTAAGGCAAGCAGGCAGCCAAGACGCAGAAAAGGGTTCACTCAAGAAGAAACCAGCAGCCAGTCAGGACGCATACTCAGGATATTCGTGAACAAGAAGGCAGACACGTCAGACACAACTTCCGGAAGCAGCTTTCCCGACAACTCTCCATTTCCAAACTCAACTCTCATGGTCCGCATGAGGCTGCAGGCCATGGTCAGGTAAACAAAGGCACAACATACACAGAGTCTTCAAAATAAAGTCCTTAAGAATGCATTTAAACTCTAAGTTTATTGAACATAAGATACTGGGCAGCTGTCAAACAATTTCAAGCCAGCCCACACATCACACACAAAACCCTGTTTTCTTATGATTACATGTAAGTCTGTATCTTTTGTTGCCTACAGGCAAAAAAATCTGCATTGACCAATTCATGGCACATCATAGATAATTAGAGTTATGAATCAAAGAAAGTCAACACAGTAAAAGTCGCTTGACCAGTGAGGGCTCTGCAACGAGCGGATCGCTGAGTCGGCTGGCCGCTTTCCTTCACTCTCCAGCAGTCCCTGAGTTCACGGCCCTAAAGACGACAACTCGGGCGAAGAGGTCATCTTGCCCCGCGGCAGGCACCTCCTACTGTCCTGTGGACTCGCTCCCTCTTCCCGCCCGGACCCACCTCCTACCACCACTTCTCAAAGCAGATGTGCTCCCTGGGGACATGGCTGCTTTCCAGCTGCTTGGAGAAAAATTCTGTCATCGGAGGTGGGCCACAGATATAGAACAGCGTCTCGTGGGAAGAATGTGCTCGTATCTCCTCCTCCGTGATTCTTCCTTCTACCAAAAATCAGAACAAGCACCAAATCAGGCCAGACACGTTTACATTCGCAAACGAGGAAGGATCACAGCTCAGCCTGGTGATCATCGTGGTAACTCAAGCTCAGCGAGGCCAGTCTCGAGCCGCTCACATGATGGCTCCTGCTGCCATCGAGACCAGGCCCGCAGAGTGCACGTCCAGGGCTCCCAGGCCGCAAACAAACTGGGGGGCGGACCACACGCCCGCTTCAGAAAGGGCCAGCTGGCTTCCGGCCTTTGGTAGATATGCAAAACTGCCTTCAGCAAAGGAAAGAAACCGCTTTGCAAAATCCTCCCAAACATGGGAAACCATGAGTGATTTAAATGACCACTTAGGGTACACAGCATCAGCCCAGCCAGGCTGGAAAATAAATCCTTCGTACATGTACCACAGTGATGACGCAGAGGCCTCCCAGAACTGTGAAAAACAGACTGTCAGCAGGGGCAACAGGAAGCCTGTTTGTAACAAGGACATCCAGCGAAATGTCCCCTTATTTTCCACAATGAATGATCTCAGGTCCCCTGGCGGTGACATTCCTGGCCGGCCACTCCCCATGATGAAGCATCCACACTCGACCAGCTGGCACGCCCATCAGACACCGCACGGGGACTGTCCAGACACCCTCAGGGGACTCACCCGTGACATACGGCTGGAGCTCCGCACTGACTTGTGTTGTCTGTTTTGTAACATGCAAACGGCATGCGATCTTCCCAGGAAACTCATTTACCAAATCGAGGATATTTTTCTGGAATGTGAAACATATCGGGTCACACTACAATTTTAAAAAATCAAAACAGATGTGCACAACCACGGGCGCCAAGCCTCCCTCCCGTGCTGCGCATGTCCAGCCTCCCTGACTGGAGACTGTCTGCAGCCCAGAGGGCCAGGGGTTCAGAGCAGGAGGGGTCCGGCTGTGCCTGAAGCCTGAACATGCTGGCAAGCGCACTGTCCACTCTCCCAGAGCCTTTTCTTTCCCTTTCTCTCAGGCACCGACACTCAGGCAGCCACCTCACTGACCAGTGTGTCTTTTAACTGCCTCTGCTCTTTTGTTCACTGCAGCAGCCCCAGGGAAAGCTTCTCCACCACACGTGCTCAGGCTCGTTTACCCAGTTGAGTCCAGACAGCCTCAGTCCCACCTACTCCCGGGATATGAGTCTACCTGGAGGCCCCCGGCCCCTCTCCAGACTCTCAGGCCTTGGTGATTCTTCTGTTCACCCAACCTCCAGATTCCATCCCACCAAAACCCACCCTTTCCTGCATTTAACCGAGAGGCTCATCTACACTGGCAGCTTTAACGATCCTGGGTGAGCTGTGCTGGTGCATTCTCATTTGAACACAATTCACCTTGTCTTGCCTTTTGTGTGAACCTTAGCAGAGAAAACAGACCCCAAAAAGGACATTGTCATAAGCACTGGACACCACCACATGGGTTTGCCCATGGCCTGTACCTTGAACAGGAGCTCGCTGGTGGTCTTGGCACTGTAGAACAGCTTGACGGTTCCCATCTCATACCCGCAGCCCTCGCCGGCCCGGTGCAGATCGGCTGTGTGCCGCAGGATGGAGAGCAGGGGGTTGATCCCGACACCGCCCGCGATCAACACGAGGTTTCTGGATGCGTCTGCAGGCTGGGGGTCAAAGAAGAACTCGCCACCTACTCGCACAGCCACTTCAGAGCCAACCGCGCACTGTGGCAGGAGAGAGGACCGCGGTGTCAGCAGCGCAGGGCTCAGCCACGTGTTCTACCTCAGCAAAACCCACCGGGCCCATGTCCCGCACCTTACCCATCTCAGGACTCTGACACCTGCCCCACATGTCCCCCCCACAGGCCGCCTGGACCCACTCGCACAGCCACCCCCATGCCGAGGAGATGCGCTGCTCCGGTCGGCCATCCGTCAACTTCTCAGGCGAGGAAGCCCCGGGCTGAGGCAGGATGGGCAGGTGGCACCACGCTGGCTGCCTGGGGCTCAGGAGCTGAGCAGGCTGAGTCCAGGGCCTGTCCCGACCCCGGCAGGGCACGGCAGCGCCACTCCACGTGCTCGGTGCTGGCCTTGCATCAGGGTTGAGTGACACACAGTCTACCCAGATAAGGCACCTGCTAGCTGGTGAGGTCACTGTACCAGAAGGGCTGATAGAGCTGAACACACTGGTTCTCAATAGGGCGACACTGCCCCTGAAAGAGTGTTCTGGCAACTTGTGGTGACATGTTTGTACTGCCAAAATGACGGGTCCAACTGGCGTTTCAGGGCAGGCTGAGTGGTGTCCTGGCGCTGGCTTCTAAGCTGCTACCCTGCTGCAGGAGGTCTGTGCACCCGTTCCCACTGGCAGGCGAGGTCGGCACAGGAATCGGCACGCCATCATCTCCCTGCACAGAGCTGTGTGCACGGCCTCTGGATGGCCCATGGGACGTGCTTGCGGGTGAAAGCTGGTTTGTAATGATCTGAGGCTAGACCCTGACTCAGTTTACAAATGAAGTTCATGTATTGTTTGCACAGACCTAACATGGTCTGAATTTTCCAGAATGTAACTGCTGTGTAGATTGTACCATGTTGTTCAGAACTCTACCAAGCATGTTCACTGTTCTGGAAAACCACATTCCAACAGGTGACATGCATGGTCCTTTGTCACCACACACACCCCACGTGCAGACAGCGTTTTTGCAGTGACTGCCAGGAGCAGCCCCAGGAGAGGGCTCTGTAATCACCGTGTATTTTAGTAAACATACGGCTGGCCACATGCAGTCTGGAAGGTAGACT